ATTCGAAAAGCTCACGGTGTGCTCACTTTTTACTCCCAAACGCTCGGAATTTTATAAGAGTGTAGTTTTACTTTAAACGAAGGACAATAATACAGTATATACTAGATTTTACTTCTCAGATTTTGTAATTAGGTATCTTGAGACTCCTCTACTTCGACTCTTAATTTTTCTGAGCACGAGATAGCAATAGCGATTTCAATTACATTTTCGTGCTCGGGGGATCGCCATCTTTTCAGCGATATGCAACTTGAATGGGATATGATTTTTCCGGAATTATCACTTATTCATCTTTCCCCCTAAAATAGGCATTTCCGTTGCTGTTGGTTCGCGAACTCAGTGTTAAAAGCAAAAGTGAGCCATGGCTTTGCGCATTTGGAAATCGAATTTCTTAAAATGAATTTGCCCATGGGCTCGACTTAATCGAGGGCGAGATCAATCAATTTTTACTCTTCTGGTGCAATGCCATTTTTCAACCCAACTAATGACGCTTAGAGCTGGACAAAGTTCACATTTGATTCTTGATTTTCATATTCATATTTTGACGAGCGAAATGAGATTGAAGTCCCATCATAATATGTCGAGTGCAGTAATAATATTATTGTCATATTAATATACATATAATAATGTACATATAATAATGTATATAATAATATTGTAAATAATATTGCTCCATGGAAAGTTGGGTCGTCGAGTAATTGTAACTTTCTACCGTTAAATAAGTCTCCCTGCCGAATACATTAATAGATTAATTTGCACGCAATTAAGTTGTGCGCGCATGGAACAATTGGAGAAAGGCATCGCCGAGAAAAAAAAAAACAGGAAGGGGAACTTTGAGTAGGAGGAAAGGAGATGCGAGGAAAGCAAGCCTCTCTCTCCTGGGGCCTGTTCCTCGCCTCTGCTAAACTTAAATCTAAATCTAAAGGGTCAGGGCGCAGAATAGACTTTTTGCTTTTAGACTGCTTTTAGATTTAGATTTAGATTTAGATTGAAGTTTAGCAGAGGCGAAGAACAGGCCCCTGAAGGCGACAGGAGAATGAGACGCTTGACGCCCAGCTGTTCGCTCGGACATCCCCGGCGATACGGGTGACGCTGGAGGCGNATGATGAAGTGTCGGTGTATATTTATTCCTATAATGAGACTAGGCGAGACATATGTCGAGGTACTAAACAATCCTGCGAGTGACGATTCCAGGGAAAGAGGGAAGGGAACTTTCGTGTACTGTGCGAAAAGCAAGACCCTTACCTCCATCTAGTGGCTTGATGAAGAACTTCAAGGTGTTCACTTCAATACGAGCGATGAGGGAGCATCTGGTGAGTAATAAGAGAGTAAATTCGAAAAGCTCACGGTGTGCTCACTTTTTACTCCCAAACGCTCGGAATTTTATAAGAGTGTAGTTTTACTTTAAACGAAGGACAATAATACAGTATATACTAGATTTTACTTCTCAGATTTTGTAATTAGGTATCTTGAGACTCCTCTACTTCGACTCTTAATTTTTCTGAGCACGAGATAGCAATAGCGATTTCAATTACATTTTCGTGCTCGGGGGATCGCCATCTTTTCAGCGATATGCAACTTGAATGGGATATGATTTTTCCGGAATTATCACTTATTCATCTTTCCCCCTAAAATAGGCATTTCCGTTGCTGTTGGTTCGCGAACTCAGTGTTAAAAGCAAAAGTGAGCCATGGCTTTGCGCATTTGGAAATCGAATTTCTTAAAATGAATTTGCCCATGGGCTCGACTTAATCGAGGGCGAGATCAATCAATTTTTACTCTTCTGGTGCAATGCCATTTTTCAACCCAACTAATGACGCTTAGAGCTGGACAAAGTTCACATTTGATTCTTGATTTTCATATTCATATTTTGACGAGCGAAATGAGATTGAAGTCCCATCATAATATGTCGAGTGCAGTAATAATATTATTGTCATATTAATATACATATAATAATGTACATATAATAATGTATATAATAATATTGTAAATAATATTGCTCCATGGAAAGTTGGGTCGTCGAGTAATTGTAACTTTCTACCGTTAAATAAGTCTCCCTGCCGAATACATTAATAGATTAATTTGCACGCAATTAAGTTGTGCGCGCATGGAACAATTGGAGAAAGGCATCGCCGAGAAAAAAAAAAACAGGAAGGGGAACTTTGAGTAGGAGGAAAGGAGATGCGAGGAAAGCAAGCCTCTCTCTCCTGGGGCCTGTTCCTCGCCTCTGCTAAACTTAAATCTAAATCTAAAGGGTCAGGGCGCAGAATAGACTTTTTGCTTTTAGACTGCTTTTAGATTTAGATTTAGATTTAGATTTAAGTTTAGCAGAGGCGAAGAACAGGCCCCTGAAGGCGACAGGAGAATGAGACGCTTGACGCCCAGCTGTTCGCTCGGACATCCCCGGCGATACGGGTGACGCTGGAGGCGCGTCGATGTGTCCGGGCGGGCGACGAGGAGGTTTTATGGAGGTGAGGAAGGCGACCCGGGGGGCACAACGCATTTCAGCTTCTTTTGGCTTTCTTGGTTCTTTTGTCGAAGTCAAATCGAGGGATGTCAAGAATCGAAAGATGTCAAGAATCATGTCATCGATTATCTTGTTTACTGTGGATTCCGCTGAAGTTTCGGTCTCGAGCGAAGATATCGTCCTTTGTCCGAGATATCGTCCTGGGGATGGCTCCCAATCTTTTGGTTTTCGGTCTGGTAAACGGGATTGCAGGGTTCTCAGATGATTCTTGCAAAACGGGAATGACATCGGAAAAAAAAAGTAGGAAATGTTACGAGACGAAGACAAGTGGGTTTGATGAGGTTCAGCCTCGTTTCCATTTTACTCCCTCGCTTCTTCCAAACCATCCCTAAAAGTTTGATGATCAGCCGAGTGAATCTGGCCGCTTCGGGCTGTTCTTGCTTCGCTTTCTCTCATTTTTTTGCTCATATTTGCTCAGTTTTCCCCGTAAATTAATCTAAAGTGGGACGGTTGCCCCAGTCAGTCCTCTGCAATCGGAGGGCAATTTCTCAGCAATGATACCATTACCCATTGGCTAAAGAAACAAAATGAAGTTTTTGAAAATGCCATCATTTTGAACCTGCTTCAGATTTAAAATTTGATAGCGGTCGTTCCAGTGTCTCTATCAGAAAACAGACGGCGGGGGGCAAGGGGGGGGGGGGGCAAGGGGGGCAGGGAGGTGGACCTCTTTTGCTTCCCGTGAACTGATGTGGATTGCTTCTCGAGAATTTCAGGCATCCAAGAGGGGATGACTAGATTACATGGCGATTAAGGACTTTTCACTTTTTCGTTGTGGAAACCAACCGCTAGATGGCTTTCTTATGTTCATTTATTCCAGGGCACTGCCTTTGAACTTAGCCTTTGCTCTTGACTTAAATGCACCGATCGAGTCGAGGCCACGAACATGATTTTATTAGTTGAGATCCATCTAATCGCAACCATGACGTTGGTGAACGATATTGGGCATCTTCAATTGCAAAATCATGGTTTTTTTTGCAAAAATAAGGAAAACGGTGCGTCGGAATAAGTTTCCCCGTGAGAATGAGAAGGAAGGACGATCAGATTGCAAATGAAAATAAAGTTTTATTTATATTATTTTTATCTCTGTGCGCGATGAGTGACTAAGCAGATGTAAATCAATGAATAGACATCATATCACGGAGAGGAAGACACGGTTGAAGCCAAAAAAAGGGAATATAGGTCATTTGGGTCATAGGAGCGTTTTATCCGAAGGCGCCAAAATTCTTGGCATTCCAGTATTTCTTGTTCTTCTGATAGCCGAAGAGCCAGCCCTTGCTTGGCAAGGGGTCCGGAAACGCGTCCGGATCCGCATCCGCATCCGCATCCGGGCTCATCGCCTCCCTGTTCATCATAATTCCATTTATATATATATATTTTCAGACTAGCCTCGATCGAAGATCCAAGATGTTTTCTCGGTGGAAGCAAAACCGGAAGCGGAAAAACGACCTTCTCGGTCTGACGAGAAAGTCTCCTTCATCCTCCTGATCCGCTGGATAGGCCCAGCCGAGCCACACCATCCCCAGCATCAACTGTTCAAACACGGCAACACGTCATCATGCGTGGTTTTCACTAGGAAAAGGGAAAAGGGACCGATGGGAGGGGGGAATGACAGAAAAGGGAGAAGCCTGTTTCATGGCTGATCCGAAAATGTCGACAAAGGTTAACTCCAAAACTGAAATCGTGCGAATGTGATATTTAGATGATTCATTTCGAACCAGTACCAGACATTACTAGACTTCACCTGCCGCACATCATGCTTCCTTCGACATCAGCAGAAAGAACAGTTTGGAAGCATGCTCTTATTTGGCAGTCCGGAAAACCCTTTCCACGTTTCCCCGTTCGCAGACGTCCATCATGATGTCGACGAATCTCTCTCGATGTTAAAGTGCTGCACCACCACTGGAAGCGGTGAACAAGTCCATTCCACTTTCTTTCCTTTCTCACAGGTGTCATGAATATCGTACAGGTACTTTACTGCATGGGTCACTGACTCCCAACTCACTGCCTGGGAAAATCAATAGATTTCCGTGGCGGTCAACGCGTCAATCTTATAGGTGGGAGGAAAGGGGGATTTTTTCATAATTTTGTATTCCGCTTTTAGATGGTACATAAGTCCCTTCCGGCTCCTTAAACCTTACTTTTCCTGACGGAAAGTGCCTTCTTCATTTGAAAATAGGCGTTCTGGACCGATATCCGACACGTGGAAGGTGATGTTGACCAGGTTGACCATTAGTCTCACTTTCGGGATGCAGGACTCTCAGTCGACACCGGTGATAAGTCCCAATCGATAACATTTTCTAATGCTGGGGAACTGTGATTTTAGTATTTATTTTTTTTTTTTAGCAAGCCTTCTTTCTACTCGTGAGATCGCCGAGCCGTCTGCGTGCGGGACTGTCTGGCTGTTGGCACGAGATTTCCTGGATGCGTGCGGGTATACTACGGTTTTAAAATTAATTTAAATTTCTCTCAACCTTATTACATCATGTAAATACATCATCTGCTGCGTTCTGAAACCATTTCATCTATGAATAAACTGAAATAAAATATTCAAGGTTTGAAAATCTGATAAGTGAATGGAGCGAATGGAGTTCCGGCCTTGAACCAAAGAGGATTCGCGACCCGAGCATTCTCTTGGTTTTTCTCGTCCCCTTCTTACATCGTGTTCCCCAATATGTACGCTGTACCCTCTCTAGGAGTACAGTCAAAGTAGTCTCGCTCCTGGACTGGGTTCTATCGGCTCGCTTCACTATGGACTGAATTGGAGGCGGAATTTCCGGCTTTTCCGAACGGCCGTTTTGAAGTTCCATTGCTTGGAAATGACAACCCACCTCTTCTCCCCATGTGAATGGTCGACAGCTCACAGTATAAACTTAAAATTTGCTCTGACAGCTTGTTGAAAAAGTTTTGCAGAGAAACCATTTTAGACCGGTGTTGTTCCAAAAATCTATACCTGCCCTTCGATGCAAGTCAGAATTAGCGATTAAAATTTGCATACTAACGAACTTGAGATTCCAGTCGTCCTGTCACATATCACACTTTCAGACGTGAGAATCATAGAGAGGATGCTTCCTTCGAAACCCCCAAAATGACAAACCGATCCCGATCCAAAACCGTATTTAAATCAAAATACAAGACAACCCTCATGAGTGGAAAACAGATTTCAATTTTCAGGGACTGCAATCAAGTTTAACCCATTCTTCACTTACGGAATTCCAGAAATAATTTACTCGTGATCTGAAAGCAGGTTACAAAAAGTGTATAAATTGCCTGCCGCGCTGTAGTTGCACTTCTGAACTCCAGAAGAATCCTATAGGCCGGACTCACCAAGAGCAACGTGCACTTCATGCTTCTTCAGTGAGTCACAATGGATTTCTTGAAACAATGACACGACCCGATGGTGATGTTTAATTTATAGGGAGAAATGAGCACGGAGCCAGCACCCACCTCCACAATTGGCCGCTCATCTCCAGCCTCCTTATTGGGGGAAGAAGGCCATGACGTCACGTCGGGCCGTTTCCTCACCCCCTGCCATCCACTGAAGGGGTCATTCGTCACTCCGCTCTGGGGGTGAACGGATGGGAAGCGGCTTCTGCGTTTTAAATCAAATTGCGCACCACGTATCAGACGAGAACCAGTCGGATCGCAGCTGAGATACGACGGAACTTCGAAACGCTTTTAAGGTAGCCGCAATACCACGATCGTCTCGCATATCTTTTAGATGGTTCGTAATTCATTATCGGGGTGTTTTCCCTAGCTTCTCTTTAACGAGTGGCTGCCAAGTGCGTCACCGGTGATATCATTTGCATGTTTAAAATTCTGCTCGGCAACCAGTGCGAACGTAGGTGTTGCGCGTTTTTTAAATCGGCGCTCGGGAAGAATTTAGGCACGAACAAGATTTATTCTTCGTGAAAAGTCATTATGCTCGAGCGGTTACTGGTTACTGGCTGGTAATGGTTACTGCCGTCCGACACGGTCGCAATGCGAGCGGGAAACGGAGTAATTTTGAACTGACATTGCACGTGATGGGAAATTGGAATGGACAGCGATAGGGAAAAGCCAGTCTCGTCTGCTCGGGGTACATGGCCGGATTAAGAAGTTGCGAGGCCCGGGGCGAGTGAATTCCTGCCCCCTCCCCCGCTACTTTACGCAAATACAATACTTTTTTTTAACTTAACGTTTTTAATTTCCTTCGGGGGCCCCGTGGAAGAGTAGGGCCCGGGGCAACTGCCCCCTTTGCCCCCCGCTTAATCCGGCCCTGTCGGGGTATAAAAGGATCATGATAAGGTTCTCAGACTAAGTTCTCACTCCCCCTATAGACTCCCTAGCCTGACACAACACCATCTGGTGGCTGGCTCCGGATCTACGCGACGCTCTGATTCATACTTGAACCGAATGACTCAACCATCACCTCAATCGGCCATCATCAACCTCTATATTCCCATCTGTATATTCCCCTTCATCCCACCTCATATCCTTTTCTGTAAAGGGCATGCCTTGCAAATAAAGGTCGTTGAGCAGAAAAAATTATCAGACTAATTCTGTTGTTTCGTTGCTATTTGAGGAACAGATGTCGCTCGTATCGAGTGTTGAGTCTTGGGGGGCATGGGCGAAATTTCTCGCTTACTGGTTTTCATTTTAAAATTTCATTTAAAAGTTTCGAGCAGGCTCTTCGACACAAGGGGAAAGTAAGTGAATAAAGAATCTCTCAAACTGCCTTTTAAAAGATGCTGACAAATTTAAGCAGGAGTGAGGGAATGTGCCTTGTCCCAAGAACCTCGAAGGAAATCGATTGACGGAAACGATTTGCAGAAAGCATGACCTTTAACAGAGGTGATCCGATGTGAGGGCTATCATGAACGCCGACGAAAGAGTGGAATCTGATGGAAACTGCCCGAATTCCACCACGAGAGAAATCCAAGTTCTCAGAGAGCTTTTTGATTCTCATCTTCTGAATTATTTAATGGAATATTGGCGATCCCTGTCGATGGGGGACCCGGGTCGCCCCTCATCGCCTGCCTTTTTTTTAAAATAACCCTTTTGATCAATACGATGAAGCAGATCTGGCTCATCTACTCCGCGAGCAGCATGTGATGAAAGCACAAGTTTCTTTAGTGCGGCAAAAAAAATATATTGTGGCGCCCTGTTTTCCCATTTCGATTCTTTCAGATTTTCCACTCGATTCTGCCAAGTAGATAAAGAATTCCATCAATAAAATATTCTCAAAAACTAGAACTTTTCTTTCTAGAAGAAGAGTTTCTAGAAGAAACTAGAACAAGTTTTTAAAAAATAAATCCTTTCCTCTCGTCCGCGGCCTCTAGTCGAAACGCTTGAAGTTGCCGTTCATCGAGGAATCCGCGTGATCTCGTTGCAATCGTGGCTCGATTTGGGCGAGCACGAGGTGTTCGTAGCCAAGAGACTTTCGAATTCGCGCAGAAATCTGCCATAAATTAACGAGAAGCGGATCTCCGTCCACAATGTGCCAACACATACATTTTACCATATACATTTTAATGCATGGGTTTTATCGCATAAATTGTCATCCTCTCGCATCCAAGCGTAGAAGAAATTTCCCCTCTGCTAGGAAAAATTCCTCTCGAGCCCGCTCTTAATGGCGCTAGTGGCTACCGCTCTAACAGCGAGTCGTTGTTTCCGACCGTTAGACGATGAATCCATTGATAAAACTTGGATCTCTCGACGCTCCAGGTTTCACAAGTTCCGTGTGTGGTGGAATCGAACGGCACGGAACGGTGGCACTAATACAAAACGCAATTACCGTATCATCCAAGAAAGGAGGAGGACTTGGAACGACATGGGGTGACATGGAATGACACCGGAGAGTTACGCAATGACGAAGGAGGATTCCCTGTTCATTCGACTCGAGTGCGCAACGTACGCGTATTCACTTTTTCCTTTCGTCTCTCTCGTCTGAGAGAGCGTGGAGAAATTCCTGGGTCCAGGCGATTCCCCGGCCGGACGGGATAGCTTCAAACTTTAAAAGCCGACTCATCGATTTGGTGGCGATCGATCGATCGAGTGGTCAGGCCGCAAAAAAAAATCTGAAAGCTGTCTACTTTAGTTTGGTATTGCCAGGACCTGGAGTGAAACTCTGTTCCATTCCGCCGATGACCGCGATATTTGAATCGCAGAAGTCCTCACTTCGTTTTGCACGAAACGAATAGATGTGGTGTTTCTTGCGAGAAGCGGAAACGGGCATTTCGATGCCGAGATCGTTTCTCTCAGGACGTAAGGCATTCCTCGCAGACGAAAGAAGATCTCGATCTGCGGAAGTTCGGACACCTCAGACCTGTCTTTTTTTCCCACATTACAGAAGGCCGAAAATGAATTTAAAAGTGGACCGGGGGTTCGGTGTCCGAGTGGTTTTGGCTTCCGAGTGAAACTCGAGAGGCCAAGGCTACCCACCTGCGCCCATCAAGAGTGCATGACTCGGCAACCGTGAAGGGCTCACTGGGAAGGGGTCACCCTGCCAAAGAGATAGTGATCTCTATCGTGATGCCTGTACGAAGCAAGCTCCTCTCTTTGAACAAATAAAAATAGTAAAGTGGATGAGTGGTATAAATTTATTAGGGATCGTTACCGGAAAGGCAAGAGAGTTGCACGAACCAGAAGAAGCTGGAAAACGCAAAGAGGAAATTAATTTTTTTTTTTTTAGTTTTGTACGTAAGAATGTGCTAATGCAAACTACATACGGAATTTTCAGCAGATTTTCATCAAATGGCCTAGTTTCACGCAGCTCCTCGGGGCCAAGGAGTTTCACGGAATCCCCATTTTTCGAAACGACTGTCTTAGAGCACGAAAGCAACGAGGCAGTCGGACCTTCTGGAAACCCCGGCTCTCGTATTTCTTCGGAGCTCCTCGAGGGAGCAATCGGTAAGCCTGAGAGACGGAGAGAGGCCCGGGCGGAATCTCTTGGCAACTACGGGGAACACGAAAAGGACTCGGCTTCACGAACACGTGGCACAAACGGATCGTGCACGCAGAAGTGCCTGCACGTACAGGCACGGCGGATGCAGGAGTGGAAGGAAAAGAAGCCGGCGGGCCGGATGGAGCATCGTCGACGATCAAGTGCCCAGTGTTAATCTTCTATTGGGTTGGAGGCACGAATCGGAAAGGCCGAAATCTTCCGAATCTTAAACCAGAGGTATCCGCTCGAATTTTCCCCATCCGACCCACCCATCTTCCAGCACTTTCCCGCCCTATTGCTTGCCTTCGAGGAAAAGAGCAGTAGGCGATGTGATGGCATCCGTTCGTGAACGTTGTCGTTCGCGCTGGACGCGTCCGGTTCGAGAATAAAATACTACAAGACAGGTAAACCAAAGGGCAAAAGCGATTCTCGGAGATTCGTTTGTTGATGAGTTCCATCGTGTCCTGATTCCATACAGACAACCTTTGGTCTAACGTTAGATCTGAATGATAGGCGTTGCTTTGGTTCTGATAGTGCATCTGCACGGAAACCTTTCGTATGCTTATCGTTGGCGCCTCTCTCCTCAATTTTGCTCGATCGGGGGGATCGAACAAAAAGGGCCCCCCCCCCCTTTAGGGGGGGGGCCCTTTAGGCTCGGCGGGCGGGTATACCCTAGCTGCCTCTCCATATTTCAATTCCCCCTTTTTATGATAGCACTCTCCCAACAATCCATCATTAGTTAGACTCCGTTAATACTCAGGCCTAGCACTTGCATTTCGAAGTGGAGAGCCTAACCTAATGAACAGTGACTTGCAAGTGAATATGTACCACTTTTAACATGAACACTTCCGTCCCAATTCTACATACAGGGTGTCCCATAAAGTCAGGACCCATAGGGATTTCTATTATTCAAAATTCAGAGCATTTTCCACCTTAAAGCACGCATTGTGGAGGCGTGTCAAGAAATTTCTGCGACTGTGATTCAGAAAGTGCGGTTGCAGTGGAATTGCGTCTTCAACTATGTGTGCGACACAACGGCGGACACTTTGAACAGATTGAACAACACTTTGAATTTTGTAATTTTATTAATTTTTTCCTATGGGTCCTGACTTACGGGACACCCTGTATTTCATGGTTGAAACACCCTCATCTCCTTGATTGCGCCATAAAAATACCATTACATTGTAAAAAGTTAGTGAAAATTTTTTCCAATCACTGTATAAACTGGATTTATACAGTCCATGTCTGGTCAAGGGAAAACAAGAGAACATGACTTTGGTTTGCTTTATTTTTATATCTGGAACTCATGATAAGGGGCAGGCTGGGGTAGGTTTCCCCATCACCAATGGCAAAATTGGCATTTTTAAAAACTAAAGGGTGCTTTTGGTGAGTATTCATTCCTTCATTCAGTCATTTATGAGTATGATGAAAATCACACAAGAAGCTGCATGGTCCTACTGGCTTCTCCATGACAGCTGGAGGAAGGACAACATAGAATAAATGTTAGAGAATGCTTCATCTCATGAAAATTATTAGAACCATGTTATAAGACCTTCATTGCCACAGGTGGTTTGATACCTCGAGTGAGTGTTCGGAACACTATCGATCGTGCCGCATNCGCTTTCAGTTCATGCATCCAGCTTCTGTCGAAGAAGTGGAGAAGCTGTAGAAAGATCGGAATTTTTGTTCAGGAAAAGTAACTTAAAAAGTAACTTCTACTTGTAACTAGTTACTTTTGGTGAGAAGTAATTCTACTGGTAACTAATTACTTTTTTGATGACATACTTGTAATTGTAACTAGTTACTTTTCAAAAGTAACGCGCCCAACGCTGCTTATGACAAGCCATAAATTATTAATATGAGAAATTTAAAACGATCGCCTACTCGGTGGGGAATGGAATTGAATGCAATGGAATGGAAAATCGAGTAAAAAAGAGAAAGGAGGTGAGCAGAAGTCATTTTACCCGATGTCGGTTTCAAGTATGGTCTTTGCTGATACATGTATCGTGACGTGATGCAGAATCGTGAAAACGTTCTGTTCTGATACCAGAAGCAAATACGGTAGGAAGTGACTCCATTGAAAAATAACAAGTTTGAGGGGGAGGGACATGATAATTGCAGCTGGTCAGACCTCGCCAGGATACATCGGATTCATTCCTTTTGCAGGCATTTGTACATTTCTGTCGCGATTCCATTTTCCTTCGGAAATTCCACCTTTCCACCCGGATTGTTCGTTCCGTCCCTATCAATGAATTACGGTTCGCGTTCGTTCCTCTGGGAATTGCAGCTGGAAATGCGTCCTTTATTCCTCACATCAGAACAAAACCACGACGTTTGGACTTTGGATTCATGTTTAGAGTACCGATTAGAAAATAAAGGCAGTTGGATCGACGTTTCCCTTCCGAGAAGAAGGGAAACGTCTTCTAAGAACGACACGAAGTCACGACAAAAGTCGGGCCTTCGACGGTCGCCGGAGGAAAGGAGTCGACAGGTAACGTGGCTTCCACGGTCACGTTGAGCGTGTGTTTACCGAAAAAGGGGGAAATCGCTTTCCCTCGGGATTCGGCATCCTTGAGACTCGACCTTTGGTCTTATGGACGTTTCGAATAAAATGCATTTCAAAACGAGTGAAACCCTCAGAATCGAGTCGGAATTCACCCGGAGGATTTCGTGTCGTCCTTCTTTCCTCCTTCCTCCGACCGACAGCCTCCAACGCGATGAAGCCGCTCGCCTTCTCTTCCTTCGCCTTCCTTCTCTTCTGTGCCGTGAGTCTTCCGCGTTCCTTCGCGCCGAGAGGATGCGGGATCGGGTCGCTCCGGGGAGAAAAGATCCGAAGAGGGGCGAAAGGTTCCTCTCGGGTGGGTGGGTACCTGTCGTACAGATTCCACGTAACTTTTCCAGTAACTTTTTTTCATGACACCTGCCTCGACGCACGGTGGTCGACAGCATAGCAAGGTTCCCAAGTAAAGAAACTTTGCTAAAAATAAAGTTAAGACTTTAAGTTGTAAAAGGTAAGACTTTACCTAAATACTAGAATCAGCGGCGGCTCGTGGGTAAAAAAATTGGGTAGGCAGCAGTGGTGCAAAAAAAAAAAAAAAGAAGTGGGGGGGGGGAGGCACCCCCAAATGATTCCTTTACACCCATATGATCCCCATTTCTATCCATATTGACCAATCAAGCGTCCTCTTATGATAGTAGCAGGCACATTCGCTCCTCTCTCAACCTCGCTGAGCATCCCCTCCTCCACAGGGGGGGATACAGAAATTTTTCATAGGGGGGCGGTTCCCAAGTTCCTACCTAACCCCCCCAGCCTGCCACCATTCCTTGTCCTTTCTCCTTTTTATTTTTCGTCTGGGGTAAGAACTTGAGTATCTAATTCACTGGCTCCAATAAATTTAATGCAGATGCTATTTTGAATAAATAAATCAAATGCAAGCCTGGCCATAGGGGGGCTGTCGCCCCCCCCCCCCCCTATCCGCCACTGCTCCCCCACCCACCACTCTCCAGTCTCTTCTGAGGGTCACTGAGGGTCTTCTGAGGGTGACCCTCACCCCTTGACTATAGGCTTGACATAAGTTTAGGATTTTTGCATTCAAAAATTGTAAATCCAATTCTAGCATAATCAGAACTAGCCATCAAGGAAATTACTTGCATCTAAAAGGAAACGTGACGAAGATTTAAACCTTCAATGAATGCAACTATATCATTGGAAGACACCCCAGGGATGCGAAGCACTGCCAGTCTAACAAAACATATCACTTAGAAACAGTGCCTCTTCCAAAGAGAGCTATGAATGCGGGGTAGGAATAGGGAACTGAGACTGACAGAAGCCTGTTCGAAATGATTCCTTATTCAGTCTGCATAATACTGTAGAATAGGTCTGATCAGGTGTGACAACCACAGAGGCTTCTACAAGCACGTGCTTCTGAGCAGAGGACGTGAGCAAGCGATTCTCAACCTTCCTTCCTGCGCAAGGAGTAACTGCGCACCGTAGGCAAGCCTACCCTCACTCATTCCAGTGTTGTGGTTCTCTTCCATTTCTCCCTCTTCTCGTTCCTGCATTGGGCTCGAGGGAATTTGAGCCTAGCCAGCGTAGGCAGGCAGCGCCGTGGCTACTCTGGACGCATAATCTCGATTTGCTTTTACCTCGCAATGAGAAAAATATTTCTAGCTGTGTTAATCGAATAATTAATTATCAAATATTAATTTGAGAACTCTGATTGTAAACTGGGTAGGCACTGCCTACCCTGCCTACCCTGACGAGCCGCCACTGACTAGAATAAAGGGAAGACTTTACCTTGCTTAAGGATAACTTCAGGAGCAATTAGCGCTCGAGGATTATGGGATTGACTCTCTTTATTCTCCCAATCTTCAGGTTTTCCAGAAAAATAGCGGATGAGACATTGGCCACTCGTTTTTGCGACGAACATAGAGCTAATAGGTTTGAAAAGATTTCGATGAAAGATCGGAGATATCTCATCGCTCGCAGCACTGCGGATGACGTTAATCCGTCACAGCGATCCCAGCGAATCCCAGTTGGCTGGTAATCCCTCTTAATCTTTTTATACGGTACACGATGGATAGTTGCTGGAGCAGAGACGGATGAGTCCGTGCCGCCCTTCGTTTCTTTCTTTTTTTCCAGTGGTGTACTAGGGTTTACCGTCCCTGGTCGGTGCCCTTCCGTCCTTGACGGTGCATGTTAATTTATTTATTTATTATTATTTTTTTTTTTTTACTGCGGAAGAGATGTCTGGGATGTGCATTTTTGTGCCAATGACCGTTAAATCATCGCCGCAGCATTCGAATATTTAATTCGCGCGAAAGGTCAAGTTTTGATTGGAATTGGAAGTCTTGCAGCGTGACCGTGAGGAAACCCGTCCCGTTCGACAGACATGGCACCGATTCACCGACCCAGACCTTGCAAAGGGATTCCATGCCCCTCACGTCCGTGAAAGCCCTTTTCAGTTCACTTGCACGCGCTCCTCCGAGCCGTGTAAACTCGGCTCGTATAAGCTTATCGGTGCGAAGACACATGGACCCACAAAGGGCCTTCATAACGTGGAGCGTGGCAGGTTTTTCAAAAGCGAAGGTAATCACAGCAGTACGCGGGGGAACCATTCACAGTAACCGAGATCGAAGTTGTGCCAAAAAAGTTAGTTTTTATCAATCGAGTTGCAGATGCACAAAACGAGTCCTGCATTACTGAGGGGAAATAAAGAAAATTAAAATTAAACGCTGCTGAATGCTTTCGGAAGGACGCTTCATCGAGTAAAGTTGCTGAACTGCCAAGGACAGGACCAAGGACAGGGCGAAGGCGTCATGCAAGGAAAAAAAAAAGGCTCAAGTATATCTGAGGACTCTAACTTCGTATGAATTTCTCGGACGTTCTACAGCATGAGAAATGACCCAAAGGTAAGTTCATGAAGTTGAGTAATTTCCCTCGGAAGTCATGATATAAATTTGGGATTACCAAAATATACCGAGAAAAACTCAAGAAAATTTCGTGCATTATCTCGACTCGTGCTCCAAGATTCCAACAATCGAGTAACCGACTGGGACTTCCATTTACATTAAAATTCAGGAAGTACTCACGAATGCGAAAGAAAAAGAAATTCCATTCTTCATGATTATCTTTTCCTTGAGCGAAGTGGCAGGTGCGACTCGGAATCGAAGGCCGACTACCGCCTTCCACAAACTTTCCAGGACTGCTCGAGAGCAAAAAATAAATGAACCGGTTCCCACTCGACCTTTGGTCATTGCCTTGTTCTTTTGCAATCCCGATTTTATCATCTCCTCTCGTTTTCCTTCGTTGAGGTCGGATGGAGTTTGTTGAGTCGGCCTTCGTCTTGAATGCTTCAACTGTTTCGATCCCGACTTTTCTTTAGTGATATTTAGGTGTATGATTATTACAAGCTCGACCTACATGCAGGGCAAGCTGAAGAATTGAGCTCGGCATACGAGCGAAGAATTGAAGATTCACTTCGTCGAGGAAGGAACAGGTTTTTTTTTCATATTCTCGCATTCCCACACGATGCTTCATATTCCCGTCTTTCTTCTTTTATCCTGGGCGATATCACGATATCGATCTGTTTTAAATGAATAGTGGACCTAGACCTTAGTGGTCCAGAAATGGCAAAAGAATTGATTTGAAAATAAACATTTGGATATGGATTCCGCCCATAGGGATCTTCAGGATGATAACCTTTTCATTTATTTATTTTCCATTAGAAGCAGATCTGTGGCATAAGAAGGCTGTCCCGATCTGGTTGCGTGGACAGGCCTAGATCGCCGACCGGCCTCGATCGCCGATCGGCCTCGATCGTTGGTTATCGTCCAGTCCCTCCGAGTGAACTCGAGTTTTGCGGCTGGGACAAATTCTCGGGAACAAATAGTGCAGTTGCATCGGCTGTTTATACGCCTTTCTAATTTGGACTCTTGTGATGACGTCATTAGCAAGCATTCGCCTAGTAGTTTCATTCCACGAAGAAGATTCACGAGAGCCAAGAGCAAATGCAGACGGTGTCCATGTGAGGTGAAAGGGAACAAGAACCCCGAAAATCACGATCATCGAAGAATTCTGCAGAAACCAGCTTTCCGAATAATTCGAAACTCCTTCAATCATGTATCCCGCCTGGGCTCTTGAGATATCCATCGCTTCGCTTATTTCTGGATTTCATCTGTAGACGAGCTAAGGAATCCGTCCTGTTGAGAACGAAGTTGTGTGAAGTTGAAAACGTACCACAAGCAATAGCCAATTTTTAATGAAGCGGTTCGGAAGAACGATCGCTCGAGTGATTGCCGTGTAAATCCAAGAGAATACGTTCCCGATGCACGGATCACTCACGTGACGCTTTTCGTTCACAGCTGGCGATACTGTTGACGGAAGCGGACGGGAGATTCCTGCCCGACGAAGAGTTGCTCGGCTTCTCCAGGGAAGACATGGAGAAACTCTTGGCCCGAGTCGCCAGGGCCGCGTGCGTCTCTCCTCCTTTCTCGCATCTCCCGACATCTGGCGGACTAGCGGGGAAGCGTTTCAGTGCATCTTTCAAAACTGCAGTCCACTGTTCGGTTGCAGTCTCAGCTGAGATTTGGATAAGAGTAGTCGATGAGAGTACATTGGAACCTCAGTCTGGCCTCGGTCTCGACTGAAACCAAACTGCCATTTTGAAATTAGCCATATTCTTGCTTCAGTGCATTTCTACGGAGCTGGGTGATGTTACTGGAAATTAATACTCATGATATATATATATATATATGCGAGGTTGCCGAGAGAAGGTACTCTTATATCATGTACCTGTACTAGACAGGACCAAGCCAGAGGATAGCCGTGCAAGGAATCGAACCCACGACACCACCGTCTAGCGGATTGTGATCCCGACATCCAAACCACTAAACCACCGTACCCGCCCAAAAAAATCTTTACCAGGAAATATATTAACGGTTATGAAACTGCTACTCGTAAGCAATGCACTGAAACTTTTCTTCGATTCCCCGCCAGAGTGACCACTAAATGTGACGTCACACGTCAATAGGGTGGAGGCAGGGAGAAGAAAACCCCATTGCTCCCGTTCCACTAAGAACTAAAATAAACTCGTATTTGTTTTTTGTTTCTCTGCACAGAGAAGGATCAGCTGCACCTCTCTATCGCTTCTCCTATCATTTCCAGAAGAAGAAAGTAGTCGACGCCAAGAGATTGGGTGCCTTCGGATGAATCGAGTCGTCGTAGATTTGCAAAGCACCCGAAGGGTGTTGTATGCCAATTGTTTCTCAGTCGATTACCACGAATGTGAAATAAAATTTCTGTCGAAAAGCCATGTGTGAGTTGTGGGCAGTTTCCAGTGTAATTCACAGACTCTCAATTTCATATTCCTTTTGGATGCATGGGAATGACAGGAATGTCCCAGGAATGACATGCTCGCATGCACGTATAATATTATTACATATATGTATACGTATTATATGAGGTGAGGCATGGTAACCAGGATGTTTACTTCCGTAAAATTTAGTTTTCCATGAGACACTCCTAGACAACCAATTGAATTAATTTTAGAATTAATATATTTGACCCTTGGACAACATTTGTCATTTGAGCACAATATGCCCTTAAGCTGCACGATTACAACATGGCATGTATCACCAAAGTCCAGGATTGAGCACAATTATGTAACCAAATCAATGCGCACAAAGTACAGGCTATTGAATAAATTTCCCATGTTACAATGCACCGAGTACATACTAGGGTTTAACGGATACATCTCACAAGTGAAAATGTCCGCCAACTCCGTCGCAGGGAAGGCATGAGTCTGCCTCAACGAAGTTTGAAGCACGTGGCACGAGGCGTGGCTTCGCACTCTGGAAAATGCACGTCAGTATTGTGCGTTCCCGCTTTCGGGAGTTGTACCATTTTGATGAGACCTCCCAAGGAAAAAAATCCATGAGTTGAGGTGATCGATGTGGCCATGAGAGTATCCAATCACTTGACCAGCAAACGAGACAGCGAATATCAGATACATAATCACAACCCTTCACATATAATTATAAATTTTATATTGTATATCACATTCGCAGATGAGAATACGATATACAATTCGAGCAAAAACTGAATTCCGTCGTGGGAAATGCATTCACATTAAGTTTTCATGGAAAATGAAACCCCACCTGGCCTCACACGGGAGATATCGAAGAACAATCATCGATAGCTCCCGCTCGACATCCCACGAGGACGAAGACTGACAAGGTTAACGGGGTTGGTGTGTTTTCGCATTCGCTCCATCGAAGGAGAGAGCGAAGGGAGAGGAGGAGGTCAACAGCCTTGAGTGGCGCCCCCGAGCGATGAACCCCGTCGGACTCTCCCTTCGTGGATCATTCCTCTCTGGACCTTCTTTCCTCTCTGACGGTTTTCGTTTTTTTTTTTTCTCGTCGTGTTTTCGACGGTGTCGCGAAGGATCGAGTGTCGACGACGATGGGTGAGGTGTCGAGAAGCAATCTCGAGGTGGTGGGTGTGAAGGTGTCGTGTTTTCTGATCGGCATGGCCCTGGCCTTGATCCCGAGGGCCTACGATCACTTCATTCAACAGACGGAGCGACACGAACGGGATTTGAAGGCTTCGCAGGGCGGACTCTCCGACGCGGAGGCGCGTCTCCTCCAGGAACTTCAAACTTCTATCTTCTGCTCGGGTGAGGAATATCAAATGTCGGCGTTTCGTTTGATCCTTCTTGAAGTAAACGGTGAGATGTGTCAGAAATTGTTGATTGCTTTTTTGAGAAATAGTGCCCGAACTCGTTGTTAGATAATATTTAGTATAACTGCTACTATCGATCGCCTTTCCCGAACTCATTAGATTCAATTTAATCGTTGTCTAGGAACGGACAGATACCGTCGCTGCCGTTTCCGGAACCTCTGTTACCAGCCGCCGTCGCCGGAGGAATCGCGCCCGGGCGACTTCTTCGCCCTCGTGAATCACAACTCCACGTTCGTGGGATTGGACGACCGCAACGAAGACGGAAATTGGACCGGATTCCACCGACTGGTGCAACTGACGTCGGTCCGGGACCTGAACCAATTCGCCATGTCCGTCCAGGCCCTGCCGTTGAGGGCGGACGTGGTCCGCCGTTTCAACGTGCAGCACGTGACGAGTCCCGTTTTCCTCATGTCCCGATCCCTCCCGTCCAACCTGGCCCACCTGTTCGTGGAGAACCTGATCCCGCTTTACTTCACGCTCGAGGACCTGTGCGTCGGCGACGTCGGGTCGTGCGTCCGCACCATCTTCCTCATGTTCCTCGACCGAGACCCCGAGTCGGTGCAGCTAAGGAATCCGTCCTGTTGAGAACGAAGTTGTGTGAAGTTGAAAACGTACCACAAGCAATAGCCAATTTTTAATGAAGCGGTTCGGAAGAACGATCGCTCGAGTGATTGCCGTGTAAATCCAAGTGAGGGGCGCCTCTCCCCCCCCCCCCCCCCCCTTTTTTTTTTTTCTATCCCAACATTACTCTATTTTTATTAGGAGAGCGAGGATGTAATGTGGATTTTTTTTTTTACGATTGAGGTCGGTCAAGTCTCGCATCGACTCTTCCCCCAAATTCCTTCAAATATGTATTCTTTCTACTAGACGACTTAAGGTCGATTCCCCGATGTGGGAATCTTTGCCAAATGAATCGTGTCGAGGAAACCGCCGAGCCGATCTTCTTTCTCTCGTAGACAAAGCCTTTTTCTTATTTTCATTCTCCAGTTAATTTCACAATCCCCACTTCACTTCGCCAACAATTTTTAGGATTCGAAATGACGCCAGAAGAGTTCCGTCAAACCCCAGATAGGGGAGAAACCGAGAGAAATCGAGAGAAACCGGGGGAAACGGGTTGAGAGATACGATCGGACCGAGACTCTCCGAGGCAGATGGAGCCGATAGAACTTGTGCCGAACAGATTAACCTCTGCAGGATTTCTTCCGTTTCGCATCACGAGATCGACGGATGATCGCTAAAGATTCGTTTGAATAAATATTCCTGAGAGGTGAAGGTAGCATTTGGACCATGTCCTCGATGCGATAAGGATTTTCTCTTCTCGCGAGTATCCGACCTTGATTTAAAACGGTGTTATCGTTTTTTTTTTCTTCTTTTTTTTTTGCATCCCCGAAGACCTCCGGCGTTTCTCCGAATTCCCCATCGATATTAATTTCCGAGAAAAGGCTTCCCGGCTCCCTACGCATGTGTCGAGCCGGAACACTTATTTTTCTTCTCGTACATCCGTGATCCCGTGCGGTGATAATGACGATGTGCGCGTTGTTGTTTTCAACGATATGCAATTTTTCCATCGCACGATCGGTTGATGGGAGCCATCAAAGGAAGAAAATATCAGCTCCAACATGTAATGGGCTGTTTCTTTCTCGGCTAGAAATGTTTTCACTCCATTCTTTTATTTGGCATTCCGCATTTTTCTGTCGAAATTTTCGAGGGGAGAGTATAGGTACTTAGAGGTACTTAGAGTATAGTACTTTCTTTCTTTACTTGCTTATAGCCCTTTTTTCTCATACGTTTGTAGGTGTACGCCGGGTTCTCGAGCCGAGGAATCTTCTTCGACTTCGGGCGAGAGCTCGTCGGCGGAGGACCTTTACCCGAGATGACCTTGAACGGGTACGACCTCCGCCGATTCGCGGATTACGTCATCCGTGCGATCGACGAAGTGGCGCGTAGCATCGTGCCGGAATTCCGCCATCGTTTCACGTGCGACCGGAAGTATCTGGAGACCGATGGGGTTCTCTTGGTTCGGAAGGGAAACCGGTTGATCCTCAACGAGGAGGAAGTCCTCGAAACGATGAAAAATGCGCTCACGAGGCACTGGGAGAAGTTCCCCGAGGACGAAGACGAGAACGGGGAATGCCGGGACCCCCAGGTCTTGTCGATGAGCCTGGAACAAAATACGATTCCGGAAATGATCTGCGCCCTATCCAACTCTCAACTGGCGGTTGGAATGCACGGAGCCCTGCTGACTCTCGCCATCTTTTTACCGCCTTACGCCTCGCTGGTGGAACTGTACCCGTTCGCCCTGAACCGCGACACCCCGGGTCTGGACCCGTACAAGACCATGGTCACACTCCCCGGCATGGAAATCTCGTACTCGAGCTGGCAGAACCGGAACTCCTCTCGCACGGTGACTCATCCCTCTCGCTCCCCTCACCTCGGCGGCATCAGGCATCTCCCCGAGAGCGTCCAGAGGGAGATCGAGGAGAGCGAGTCGGTTCCCCCGACCAAATGCTGCGAGGACCCGAGACTCAACTACCGACTCTACCAAGACACACGCGTGTCCGTGGACGAACTGGACGGAGTGCTGCAAGAAGTTCTGTGGGACGCCGAGGAACGTCTCGGACAGAGTCCGGCGAAGGACGTCCTGCCCTTGACCTTGTCCATCCCCGAGGACCTGGAGTGTCGCGTCGTCGCGAACGAGAGGATCCTCGTGTCCTGGCGACCCCCGATGAACCTCGAGTACTTCCACCGCGGCAACTCCAGCGCTATCTACGAGACCCGAGTCCACATCCTGGTGCACCTGAACCCCCACCAGAAGATCTCGGACCCGACGAACACGAACGTCGTGGAGGAATTCGAATGGAAGCAACTTCCGCCTCGGAACACGACGCACACGAATCTGGAAATCCGTTTGGACGAGCCTCTCTGTCCGAATTGCGACGTCGTGGCCTCGACGGCTTGTTTCATCGACGGGGTCGTGCGTGGATCTTTCGCCCCCGTCCTGACGTGTTCTCGATGAAAGAATTACATCACGTAGTCGATAAAACAGATTTATTTATCATCCGTCAAAATCATTTGGAAAGGACGAAGGTCCTTCAGTCGCAAAGTCCCTTGGAGCAGGCGTGATGGAGGACTTCGTGGGCCTCTTCCACGCCGTTTGCCGCCGCGTGCTTTATCAGCTTGTGCACTTCCCTGCGGGGAAAGAATAAAAAAAAATTTAATTCAGGATCCTCGGATGAATGCGAAAGGACGGTGGATGGGATTCGGCTCACCCGGGTCCCGCGTCTCGGTGCATTCCCTTCAGCTTGCCGACGGCGAAGTTGTAAGAGGCGTGAGGATGTCCCTGATCCGCTGCCTTCTTGAACCATTGCATCGCCTCCGTCCCGTTCTTCTTCACTCCTTTCCCTGCGTCCGATTAAAAGTGAGGGTAATCGGGGCTGGGGCACGGGACGAGACGCGTTCGAGGCGGCGCTGCCAGCATTCGCCAAAATCGGCTGTCATATCTGAATGAGTTCTTGAACGTAGTTCCTCCGAATGGAGTTCCCTCGCATGAGGAAACCGAAAGCAAACGATGCCGTTCTGGAGAAGTAATATTAACCGGACATTTTTCTCGTGCGACGTAGGCGGTCTGAGGTCTCAATCGCAATAATTAAATAATTCGTGCATATCGAGCAGCTAGGAAAGTACCGCGTGACCAACCCAATGATGCACAGGAAATGTAATGTAACCCTCCTGCAAAGGAGAATCATTTTTAAGTCATCTTGAAGCTCATTCCAAGTTCTGTTATCGGTGAAATTTGCTTGCTGGAAGTTTTGTTCATCACAAAGTTACGAGGAATCAAATATGAGTAGGTCTCTCGCCATCACTGCCCAAACTTGTACTGACAGCGTCAGGAGCTGATGCGGATTAGTGAAAGACCCTGTCAAAAGGACTCGTGTCACTCCAAAATCGAAGGAAGTGGGCATGGCACGGATATGATAGGGACCCGCTGGCCGTCACAAGAGAGGGACGTGCGAGTTTTAGCTATTCGGTATGTGATATTTGATGCTTGAATCTCAGCGGCAGGCATTCGGTGCTATGCTCCGAGATTCTGCTCTGGAGAATCCCTTTAAACTTCTCGCGACTCTTCTATTAGGAATCTTGCCCGTTTAGTTTTTCCCCCTTTTTTTCCAGACATGTTTCTTCTATGTCTCTCTGATTGATCTGAAAGTGAATCTCCTGCAGGTCCGGGATGACCAGGTATCTCTCAGGTTTCTGTTGGGTTTCTGAGAAACGCCGTCCCGAAATTTCGGCTCTGTCTGCAGGCATCAGTCGACCGACAACGTCGTTCGATTCAACGTTTCCGAGAGGTGAAATTATCAAGTCGAGAGGCAAATCGGTCAAATTTGTAAGGCATTGACAGGGGTCACACAGCACGAGCCATCCCGATTTTGAGCGGAGTCCACGCGTTCAGATCGGCATCTAAAGCTCAAAGGTTCATTTTTATGGATTACATTTGTCCTGTCTAATCGAATGGGCGCGCATTTAGAAAAATATGTTGTAGCTTTTCACTGGGTTTGCACTTTCAGTTTAGCGGCAAACTCTGTTTCGCGCTTTAACAGCTGCTCTCATGGGTTCATCCCGTAAGACCCATACCGATCGGAATATCGAAGCTATAAATACATTAGACTTGATTTCGCTGAATTAACTCCGATCGGAGCGAGGTAAGCCAAAAGCTTACCGATCGGACATGGAGTGCGCGTGAAAAAAAGAAGCATTCACTTCCGCAGAAAACTACGTCGTGTCTGTCTGCCTGGCTGTCCGCCTGTCTGGCTCTGGCTATCTGGCTGTCTGTCTGCCTATCTGTCCGTCTGGCTGCTCGTCTGCGCTCTAACAGTCAAACTGACGGATTCTGAGAGACGAAATTTCGCACATGAATCCCTAGCATCTAGAGACTCATCCTTCTTTATGGACCGATGCTTTCGTAGACTGATTTTTTCCGTATTTTCCAAGAAAAACTTAATTTTGCAATGGAAGTGCAAGTATCCAATCGCACGAACCGACATTGTGGACGTCATTAGATGGATCTCGACTGATAAAATGATGATGTCCAAAGGCTCGACGCAATCGATAAGCAAGTTCGAGAGTTCAAGGTCAAAAATCGCGTCTCGAGGTAAGATGAAGAGCAGGATGGCCATCTTGGCAGTTAGTCGAACAAACGAGGTTCCCACGACGAAAGCGAGATGGCGCCTAAGTCGACATCCCAAGTGGCCGCAAGGACTGGTGAAGGAATCCACGTCAGCTTAACTAAGTACTTAAGTAACTTAATTAAGCTTAAGTTACTTAAGTGCCAAAGCTGTTCCCTGGGAGCACTAACATTAGATGGCGCGTTTTAAGTATGGCCCCCACAGCCCATGGCTGTGGGAGTCGCACATAAGGAATAGAACGGAATACGTCATGTCTTCACAGAATTGCACTATTATTCTTCGCGTGAGGCTCCTCCCAATTTCTTCTCAAAACTTGAGAGCCACGAATATGATAAAGGGCGCTTCAAGCCGAAGTAAAATAAGGTATAAATGGGACAGAATTGAGGGGTGTGCGAAAACGTAGTTCAATCCTTAATGAAACATCACCTTCAGAGGAGGTGCAGGTTTTCTTCAAAGTCAATCACCGATGCAAGGATTTCTATGGAATCATAGGCCTCAGTGAGGTACATGTGCATCATGAGTGGGATACTACTAATATCTTCCAGTTTCTCATAGAATTCACTACAAAGGGAAACTACTTTAAACTTGAAAGTTTTGACTCCCATTGGCTCTGTATTCTCTCAAGAGCTGCTAGCTTTTGTTTCTTCTATCAGTTGTACTTCATGGGCTAGATCATTACTAACCAACGACAGAAACTCTTTTCGATTAGTACCTCATGATTAAACTTATCTTGTCAAGGGTTAATGTTGGCTATTTATCCGTTGACAGCAAATCCCAAATTTGATTTTCATAGGCTCATGGAAAGCGAAGGCCTAGACAGAAATAATCATAACAGGCCTTTCAGGCTGTCTGGATGCTCCAAGTAGAAACTTCAGACCATCGATTACTTACTACGTAATCTTTCTTGGCCTTGGGAAATTCCACTGACAAAGAAAATGAAGCGTTTTCAATGTAAAACAATCTCTAGCTGCATGTTTCCATAAGAAACGCCTTGAAGCCTGCGCGCTTGACTCCCCCCCCCTCCAGCTCATTTTTATGCTTCCCGCCGCCAGATGTCTCCAACTTAATGTACAAAGTAAAGTATTGTCCCTCCAGTCTACGGTCGCGGATACGCGATTTAAAATTTGCTTTGGGGTTATGGGTTAGGGGGTAGGTTCATCATATTGCCAGATTCAACAGCCACATGCTTTTGTAAGTGAACTGCTAAAAAAAAAAAACTCAGTCCGATCATGTCGCATGCCTCTACTAAACCTAGTACTCTAAGGATTCAGCCTAAATCGTGAAGTCGTAGTTTGTATCACTTCGAATTCAACAATTTAGATATGTAATGCGGGAAAACTTCTTATTTCACCGAAAAAACTTGCTTTTGTCGACTTTTTAGTTCATTAAGTACGGTACCGTGACATAAGCTATTGTAGCGCTCTAGAAACTCAATATCTGAATATTAAGCGGCTGGATTGTTTAACGAATTATTTTTGCTGATAGCCTCCAATATGATAGCAACCTGCTCTCAGAAAGTTTTCTCAGCTGATATGATAAAATATCCCTTATTACAGAAAGCCGTGAAACGATAAGGTACCGTCAAGTATCGTTTATATCGACATCAAATCTCGACATGCAATCACATTCTTCATGAATTAATTCTTTGATTTTAAATTTCAACAGGTTTAGCATTTTCTTCCAAATATTTTGTGCTCATGAAGCTGTTTGCAACATCGCTCGACCATGAAACTAATGAGAAATAATTTGATAACAAATTATATTACACATATTGACTCACTTACTTATATCTAAATCATGTCCTGATAGGCATTTTAAATGAAATTATGATAACGATCACCTCAAAGAGCTATGGATCGAATAAAAAGCTTCTATTCTCGGGGATGTTTGTCGGATTTTCAGCAATTTTTTGGCATCGATAAAAATCAGATCTGGGGTGAGCTTGTGTGTGACTAAAATTATAGTAGATATAACTCGAAATCTTACGTCATTCCCTTTGCTTTGCTCAGACTTTGTCCACATCTCCCCCTACCCTTCCCTCCCCCTCCCACTCCTACCCCTACCCCCCTACCTCTACCCTCCCCTCCCCCTCCCCCTCCCTCCCTTGCGGAGTATTATGAGATGTTTTGATGGACGCAGGCGATCGACGCACGTCTCATTCCATCGTCGGTAACCCGTGGGGATTGGTCGTGCCAAAACTTTGATCCTCGTGAGAGCGAAAAGACCTCGGCTCTCATAATAATACTTTCTGCAGGAAATGGAATACCTAAGCAGTCGGTTCTCGACGTGGACTCGCGCCCATCGATCTCGTGCCTCATGCTCACCGATCGTCGATTCCGACCGCTTTCTGCCCTCAAGTCGATCCCGTGCTTCTTGGTCCATGGCCTAATCACTCGATCTAAAGAAAGAGGCTCGAGATCGAGGTGCTGACGGCTCCCCAGCGTCCATTCTCACCGTGAAGAGTTGACCTTCATGCCCCTCGCGAGAGACACCTAGTGTGCGCAGAGTGAAGTCAAGGAATGGACTGGAATCGCCCTTGGGAAAATCACCATGCCCGACAGATCTAGCCCGAATCCTGCAGTGTGGACGACACGAATGTCCATGACCCGCAACAAACACTGCGAAAAATATCGCGAGAAATCCGTCAAGCGAAGAAAGCGTCTCGCAAGAGGAAAGCCTACGTTCGAATGAGTCATCGCCTCGTTTCCCATCGAAATCGGAGCATTCGGTGAGGTTCGCGGCCGTTCGATTTTGTCTCCCGCGGGGATGACTTAAGACCAGGATTTAGTTATGTTTGACGAGGTACGCTGGTCAGACGGGATCCCCGAACGAATCGAAACGATGAACGCGCAGTTCATCGTTTTGATTCGTTCGGTAGGACGACGGACGTCTGCCTCGGCCCTTCCGTCGGCGTTTCTTCCCTCTTACCGTTCAACTCGAAACATGAGCAATTCGCACGATTGAAAGAGATCTTCTCGCGCTCAGTCTCCGGGGGAAGGAGGGGATCGTGTCTCGTCTTGCACTCGCAAAGAAGACGACCATCCATCCAGTCGCGGGTGCCACGTGGTTTTTTAAAATCTAAAATCATCCTTCCTGAGTGAAAATGAATATTATCTAAGCGCAGGGTTGGAACAAGGGAGGCAGGAGGGAGGAAGGAGGGAGGAAGGAGCACAAGGATAAGCAGGTGACTTATCCACATAAACGAATATGAAGGTAGCGGATGAATGGAAGGCAAGACAAAACCAGACAAGTAACGAGAGAAATACGCTTGCATTTAGAAACAAAAATGAACCAGATGTTATATGGGATTTCTCGAAGGTTGCAATATGAATATTTTAAGCGATAAGGTACAAGATAAGTTAGACGAGACGAGCGGAGAGACAGAACTCGGAAGCCAGACCGTGCAGGTATCGCTGTCCGACGGCGTGTTGGGCGTGGGCGTGTCCCAGGTGAGCGTAGGCACGCGTCACGTAGAATTGCATCTCGTTGGAGTACACGTAGGCGATGTAGCAGAGCGCCAGCGCCGAGATCACGAGCGTCACCTATGGGACATTCGTTCCAAGAATTCTCGCTGGTGACTTGTCGAGATCGCGACTCGGCGAAACGAGGAATTCGATTTTCAAAAGGTTTACTTCCAGAAATTTACGTCTTTTTTGTTGTGAAAGAGGAATTTACGCTTAATTTTACAGCACAGCACTGCTATAGGACTTTAAAAAAAAAAAAACCTAGGACATCAGATGTTTAGTACGAAGAGGAAGAAACTCGGCCAAAAACAGCTGATGATGCTTTGCACGAGCAGCAATTTGTGATTTTGAGATTTTATTCTAAAGTGAGACCCTTCTGAATGAAGGCCTTTGAGAGTCTCCTTTATGCTAGTTTTCCTGCATTTTCCCGAAAAGAATGGGAATTCGGAATTGGAGTTGCCGATTCCTTATTTTTAAAAACATCGGGAATTCCGAATCAGAAAAATTTTCCGATACACTACAGGCATTAATCCTTGAATTTTTTTTAAAGGAACGGTCGAAAGACGCCACACGTACCTGTACGGCGACGCAGAGATAGGAATCCGGTTTCTTCTGCCTGGCCACGTAGACGAGCCCGCCGTACGGAAGCTCCGGATCGTACTCCGGCCCCGGCTCGTAACGAAAAAGCGATTTCTTCCGTCGACGAACGCCTGCAGAATCTCCAGCCATCTCGTTCGTCTCTTTCCTGCTGTTTCGGCACTGTCTCGGATTCAACGACGTCGCAGCGACTGCCCATACACGCGTGCAAATCGATCAGCCCTACGTGTTACCTGGTTACGGTTTCGCGTCCATTCCGAGTGTCCAACGTCCGACGCCGCACGGAAGAAAGTTCCAAGGCAGAAAAAAAGGGCGGGAACAATGATTGACGCGTGTAACCGAGGAGGAGAGTCCTCATTTGTCAGTTTGCATTCAGCACGGTAATCGGCGGATGGGATCTCCACCTGTCATCGCCTCTGGCATCTCGTGCTATCGACGGGGGTCCTGCGTCTGGTTCCCGGCTCGCCACCTTTTCTCCCTTCATACATTCATATGAGACCATCCTTTTAAAAAAATTTTTTTTCGAGATCTATAAAAGTTCTTCATATATGTTATCGGAAGACAGCTGATATATATGTTTACGTTAAGAACGCGATGGTGCGTAGGCTTTTCTATGTGGAGATTTCACTCAGGAAGACGGACGAATGAATGAATAAATAAATAATTAAATAAATAATTCAGAGTTAAATTAGATATGCAGTTTTTCCTGTTCTACACTTACTTGCGCATTTCCAACTCATTAACGCTCGTGAAGAAAAGTGGCTTTAGACGCGCCCAGGTGATGATGATGATGATGGAGACAGGAGTAGAGCCTGAGCCTTGCCCTGATTATCCACGGATGAAAATCAGGGATGTTATCCTGTTGTCGTGGAGACACCAGGACCAGGAGGCATGAAGCACACGACACCTGGCCTCCTCGATAAAGTCACCCGGATAAACTGAAACTTTCCCTCGAGTTGGCGGGGTTCTTGATTTCGTGGATCCTCCTTCCGAATCCCGTGCAGATTGATTTTTTTATGTTGTGATCCTGATTGAGCCTGATCCGAGTGTTAGTTTGTATTTTGAAGAAGATAACGACTGAGTGGGCGAGGAATATTCGATTCGCGGAAATTCGAGTCTCCTCCAAAATCTGGGGTGTTGAGTGGTGACAGCATGGATGAGAAAACAAGACAAGAAACATCATTAAAACAAATATTGCTGTCTCTTCCACGTCAACTCTCCTGAGCAAGTTCGCGAGGACTCTTAAATTCGCGGCACATATTACCGCTTCCCTGTTTGATTTTTGTCCCCTTTGAGTACTGAGTAGAGAACTGGATCCGAAGCTGTACGGATGGAATCCCCAGGTGTTCCTGTTCGCAGCAAGTCGATACGATCAGGCACGAGATGGGGAGATTTTGAACCTCGCCAAACGCAGGTGTCCAGTTAGGATCGAGAAGAGGGTGTCGAAAGTCAGTGTCAGTTTGAACAGGGCCTCAGTCGTGATTGTGACTACACCTTGCGAGGCTTTTCACAACTCCTTTCCTATTTCGTTCGTCATGGATCTGTGTATTTTCCATCGACTTTTCTCCTTCGTCGTGTTGATGCTATGGGAGGAAGCGGAGTGTTCTATGTTGAATTTCCTCCTCACGCAACCGATGCCTCAATTGGAATTGGATCCGGATGTCGGCACTGTTCATCCTCTGGTCACCGCTAACATCAAGGACTTTAAGGTTTGAATTCTAACTGCTTTACGGCACTATACCTATCGGGAGAATCTTGTAAAATCTAATAATAAAAAATCGTAGTATCCATATTATTTATAGTATTTCACTGAGAAAATCCTTACTTTACTTTTTTTTTACAAACTTTTTTTCACACCAGAATCAGTCTATGGAAGAAAGGCCTCCCACAACAGTGCCAACCGTTACAGGTTCAAGATTTAGGTTTCGATTCGCAATACTCACAAGGTCTCATGATATTGGGTGACATTTCCATTTGCAGAGACTCTCCCAAAATAACTATCATATATCTGTGGAGCACGAAAAGCATGTCGATACAGGAGAGACGAAAGATTAAGATGATCTTATTGCCTAAGACGTATAGTCCATCATACTCGTAGTTCTCTCGCTTGGTGTTCTGGACAACAAATGAAAAATCTGCATTCGGTTATTTCTTACATCATTGCAATTTTTTTTTATCCCCCCACCCTTGAAAGGAGAAATACATGTAAATATACGGTCAGCAGGCAATCTATTCCATTTTGTGTTTATGTTAGAACGAAGAATCCCCGTCTCAATTCTTGTTTACCCTAGGTTTACACACTTTCAGGGAATTATTATGTTACCTTAATATGTAAAATGGCTACTGGATGATAAACATGTTTTTCGCTACCGTTATACTGAATCCCCGATGAGAGGAATCTATTATGGAATCGAGTTCAAGATAATCAAGAATAAGTTGGCGGATAGAAGAGCGATATTGTCCAATTGAGCGAAAGTACTTAATGAAAGTAATTTTTTGCAACAGCATTGTTCGCCTGGGAACACTGAGTCGTGTGGCAGCGGCCAGTTTTGCGACCTTCATTATGGAGTGTGCCTGAGATTGAAGAAAGAGGGAGAAGCCTGCCGGACTGACCTGCACTGTTCACACGGACTCGACTGCCTCTTCGGCACCTGCCACCCTCATCTCAACCGAGGGAAAGATGGTCTGTTTTCATTTCTTAGCATCAGTTCTATTAGTCTGTCAATCGCTTCGTAATATAAAGAGTCAGAATATCTTGCGGCTGTTACGAGGACTCTTTGCTCCATCCAAAAAAAAAATCAGAGGGAGAGAGTTTTTTTTTTCATGTTTCAGGCACATTTCCAATGAGATATATCTCATACGTGATGGTGAGTAGCGATTTCAAACAAAAAAGAAGTTCGGGGAATCTAATTTTGCTGTTTCTTTGCTTTCAACCGTGGACGCGGGGAAAAAACTCATTCTTTGAACGAAGAATGAAATTATTTTCAAGGACACCAAGGGCTTTTTCCACCCCATTGGGCACACCTAGTAGGGAAAAGCTGCATTGTACTCTATAGGAATTAGGAAGATTTGTTTACGAAGGAGGGAGCACGTGGCGCCTGGGGAGATAAGTGGGAGGATACCTCTTGTCCCTGTCCTTGCAATTATCGCCTAACTGGATGAGTGATAGGCCGTGACTTGACATGACATGACTCCTTCCTTGGTGCCTTTTGTGCAATTATCCATACCCAGACAAAAAAAGAGGGTGGGACCCCTCAATCTCTCCCCCCCTTACTTGGGAACTCTCAAATTACATCCTCTTGATTGTGTCTTCATTTGTTTAACCAGGAGCTCGATGCGAGAGGGACGAAGACTGCATGCCGGGGCATTGTTGTGCCCGAAAGCATGGGCAAAAAGTGTGCAAGAAGAAAATCTCGTTGGGGCATCGATGCTACGTCCCTTCAGGGGGAATGGACTACAGCCTCAATGAACTCTGTCCCTGCGTCGACGGCCTCGTCTGCAAGTTCCGTGGAAAGCATCGTAAAAAGTAAGATTCTAGAAGTGCTTTTCTCGATTATCACGTTTTCTCTACTGTTTATTTATTTACTAAATCATTTCCTTCCGTATTCAGGGATGACCTGTCTTGGCGACATTGGTCAACGTTTGATCACTTCCGATGCTCCCCTATCTGAGACCGGAGTCCTCCGTTGCCTCATCGTACCAGTGATCTCCCTCCCAGTTCGCCAAGAATAAAATAATTGATTTATCAATACAATTATTATATCTTTTATCATCATATTTCATCTGTATATATACATTATTTTCATAATACTCATCTGAGCCTCGATGTAATGCAGACAGGATATGGAAGAAATATATGCAATTGATACTGTCATTTCTTTGCGCTGCCTCTGGAGTTTTGTAGATTCATGGGGGAGACAAACAAAAACCTTAGGAGATACCCTTCTGCTGCCTGAGTTGAACCTGGAAGTCCAGTATCTGCCAATTTGTGCTGTAATCGATGACCAAATGTCCGGATTTGTTGACTCTAACGGCAGATTTCCATTTGTTCTTCCTTGCGATTGAATCCACTTCTCCCTCCCACATCTCCTCCACGGAACTCCTATTGATTATTGATTAAATGATATTTTAATACAAAGCATGAGCGACACTTAAATTATGGAAACATGGAACACGAGTGGGCTAGCCGTAATGAGCCTACACCTCTTACCTTTGTGAGTGTGAATATATCGGCAGTGGCGACATCTTAGGAGCCAGCGGCGAACTGAGAGCTTTCGGCCTTGGTACATAGATGGATGGAGGAGCTGTCCCTCCGCTGTGCCGGATTGAACGTGGATGTGGCGGGAGGCTGGTGGCCGGGATCCAGATCGGGTGCGGATGGTGCTGGTGCACCGAGCACGGCGTTGCTTGCTGCACATGGCGATAGCACGGCACTGTCAATCGAAAGAGAAAATACTCATATAGGTTTTCAATATACTATACCAGCATCGTTGCCTATTCTTTCATTCCCTCTTGTCAAAGCAACTAACCGGTCACGAAAGGACCAGCGCATAGCTCAAATTCGCACTAATTACTTTACAGAACCGGAGGAGAGAGTGGAACTCTTCACTCAAGCTAACAAATGCTAACAAATTTCAACTATATAGCGGACATTTTTTAAATCTCGGATCAAAGACCGTCCAAAACATTCCCATCTTCCTTAATAAAATGTCCTATTGTGTCAAGCGTGATATGAAGTGTGCTTCTCTTCTCCCCTCCCCCCCCCCCCTTATTTTTGAACAGAGAGGCAGAGACACTGACAAAAAACAGTAAAATTAACAAAGCTGGAAGTGGAAATAAACCAGGTATGAGCCAATGCCTAAAATGTAATTTACTTGTTCATAAATGATAGTCAGATTTCATATTTCGTATTATAAATCGAAGGGACATGATGCTTTGTGCGCTGTATACAGTAGAGAAGCAACGAGATGCTTTTTACATTTTTTATTTACAAGTTTTCCTTTCCTTCGTAGTAATCTTCCATTTCAATGGTATGATGAAAATTTATTCGCACAAAATTAGACTTTCTGCATTATAATGCAAAACTACTGCTAGGGTATTATGGCAATATCTTAACGAAAGAATAAATGTCAACAAGTCATCAAAATCCGCAAATAACCCAAAGAGAAAAATCTGTAAAAAGAAAAATATTTCTGATCTGATTTAAAAAAAATAATGCCTGAAAACTCATCCTCAAGCACAGAATGCTCGAAATCTGCATACATTCGGAAAGAGCTCTGTTTTGGGACACCCAGCCTATAAAAAGCTCACATTCATAAATGCATGGAAACTGATAGCTTTGAGCATTTTCGCAGCTCGGCCTCATCGTACATTTTTTCCGTTTCACTGACATCCTCAAGAAATTTCGGGCTGACCTTCCTCAAAGCTGTATCTCAAAACTCATCAGTGAAAAGGTTTAAGAAAAGCTTTCGGATACTCAACAGGATTTCAATGTATAAATTTCACTCTCGATCCAGGGTGTTCCCGAGGTAAAGTCTGCGAAGATTGGAAAATTGGATCTCGGTGTATCCTTGAAAATCTTCAAATCGAGCACTAATTAAGCTACAGAGATGTGCAATGCAGCTTGTAGGAAAGCACTTTCTCAGCATACATGCCTTTTGAATTTTAATCCAATATACAATATGCATAATGTGATTTATGAAATTATTTACCGAAAAAATTATTCTTGATGGCAGGGGTTCAAGCGGGTGTTGTACCGATAAAGAATGCGAAAACAGCCTATTAAGCTGACACGTAATACTAACCCGAATCTTGAACCCTCATTCTCGAACCATCCATGGGGTCAAAGGCCGCCAAATTACGGGAATTAGCTACAATTAATCGTGCTAATTTACATAGCGGGGATTCCAGGCCATATTTTGCCACGTTGAAGGGAAAAAATTACCGCTTGAAATTTTAGTGAAAAGGACCGAACTCTTATCACCGTAACGAGAAGCAGAAGTATCGCGACCTTCATGATTCATTAAGAGAAAATCTCAATTGTATAAGGTCCAAGAGAGATCTTCAAATTTGTGTTTTTCTCATTAATCTCACGGGATGAATTCGAGATATGACTGCTCGAATTTAGGATGCTGAGGAATGCCTACACATGAATGCCTCCACTACCCCTTAAGTCCTAATTCTTCACTCTTCCTTTTCAAAGCACTGTTAAAACTAGTCTCTCTACCATTGCGTTCATGACTGAGAACCATACCTAATGGTCTCAAAGAAAATAGCTTGGATGCATCTGTAAATCCTTGCTAAGCTAGGTGGTTTGGTCTTGGTTGAGATAATATAAGAGGGCATTTACGTGAGATGTATTCCGACGGAGCGCAGAGCGGAGTGAAACAGGTTGAGGAATGCCTCATTGGGGTCATCGCATAATAGAAGCCCTCTGGATCCTCTCCATAATCGAGCATGTCTTCAGAAAGTGACCTTCCAGTTCCGGATGCTTGTTCGTAGACGATGTCCTCGTGTTCATTCAGACTGGAGATCTCTGTCCAGTCTCGATATGCCTCATAGTCCGAAGAGGAATAACCGCCGTGATCCCAGGAATGTCTTCCCGAAGGAGGAAGACTTACTGGACCCATGCGATGCCCGACCATCATTGTCATCATCCTCTGAAACCATCAAAAAGTCTAAGTGATGCATATATCCCACCATGATCATGACCTCATTAATGGATTCAATCGAAAGGGAAGATGGAGTGTGGGTCACGCCAATTGCATCATCATTAATCAGCCTTTTTCTCTCCTTCACCCCTTTCCTTCCTGAAGACGAAGGTCGTACTATTCTCATTACGAATGGAAAGGAAAACTTTACTTGTCTCATCGGATGACACCTTTTGGTATTTTGAATCATGAAACAGAAGGCAGACCCGATGGTCAACTAATAGATAGGAGACAGGCCGCCATTAGCGATGAATAATGCTAGGTCTCAAGGGTCAATTGGCTTTCAGTCAGGAAAAAGAGATGGAAGTGGAAGATGAGATGGAATAGACCGGTTCTGGTACGATGATGGCATCAGAGAGAATTGAACCAACACTGTTAACTCATCATTCTGTAAGCATTGAGGGTCACCAATCTCCGTATTTCTCCATGATCCTTCATCGAAAATAACAGAAATATCTAAGCAATTGAAAATGCTGCATATCGGCGCTGGAATGGATGGACCCATATGTCATTCCTTCTTTTGAAACAATTAAGTTCTCTAATGTTAGCGAGCTTAATTGTTAATCTTAATTTCTAATCTTAATTGTTAACGTAATCCATTCATGGAATCCTGACTTGTCTAGCCCATCGATACAACCTTAGAGTAAAGTTAGGGGAATTCGTACTCGGGAAACAGCAAGGTGGCTCTGCCTTCACGGAGATGCGTTACTCAGTGGCTCTGAATCTCCATAATCGTGTGCGAAGATACCCATGAGACAGAAAATACCCATGCAGATTTGCTGTATCGAAACAGTTACGTAAATGAGGATTGGTAGGTGAGGAACGTCTCTACGTCTGTTATTCCACTAAAAACCGAATACTTCTTTATCCTCCACTGAGTCATCCATGCTTGCATATGGAACGAAGTGTTTATGTAAATGAGACCATGAATGAAAAGAGATCATGACTTTTTTCGAATTCAAGTTATTTTATCAAGCATGTCTTTAAATTACATATGGGAAGCAGAGTGGCGCAGTGGAAGCGTGCTGGGCCCATAACCCAGAGGTCCGTGGATCGAAACCACGCTCTGCTATTTTTATTTATCCTTCTGTTATTTCTGACCAGAGACTCCGATGCTACCTGGGCCCATCTCCTGAATCGTCTACCTAGAGATGCTCAAAGCAGGTGGAAAGGTATTCTTAGGATACTAGATAATCTTGCCTTTTCGGAGACACAATTCAGTGGCTCTGAGTCTCAATAGACTCCTTTCAAAAGGGCGATTCAGTGGTAATTAAAGTTGGGATAATTATATGATCGGCAAAGTGGAGCAATAGACCTTTGAAAAAATCCAGTAGAATGGGACACGGTGTCTGTAATGTCTTCCCTCTTAGGTGTTTATGCAGAGTTTTGTTCAAGACTCATTGGAATTCGATGCTCTGGGACAAATTTGCAACAGAAAAGAAAACGGCCCATCATCCGCAACAACAATAACAGCAACTGGAACCTCGTTGTGAGAGCAATCGATATGAGCACAGTGGAACTCCAGTTAGACCAAATTTTCCAGATCCTGTGTTGTCATCCCGTCTAATGACAAGGGTCTGATTGAAGTTCTCTTGCAAATAAATCCCAACCGCAACTAAACTGAAATTGGAACCCAACTGCAGTTTAGGAATCAGTCATAGTGTGGGAATATGTATGACAGAAATGCACATGCGGCTTAACGGTAAGAAAACGTTGGAAAGGAAGGATGACAGTTGACAAACGGGTCTTGGGTTTTAAAATCTGTGACACTAATGACACGAACGGATTAGCTGTATCGAAGTATTAATGGGAAAAGATCCACCATCACAGCTTTCCATCCATATTTCGATAGGACTAACCTGCAATGATAGATCTGTCACCGATCCTCGCACGACGAATATGGCGCCATTGAGTAATGGGCCTTCGAGAAGAAAGAGTTTTTCAGCTGTATCCAAAATATGCCTTAAAATATGCTTTAAGTTGTGCTCTCAGGTGTTATCTCTGGTGTTGACAATCCAAGAAATGGACTCTGAGAGCATCGGAGACTCGGACCAGAAAGAATAAAAAGGAAAACAGTAGCAGAGCGTGGTTTCGATCCACGGACCTCTGGGTTATGGGCCCAGCACGCTTCCACTGCGCCACTCTGCTTCTTGCATACATGGTGGTTTGAAAATGACACATACTTAAATTATTATCTAAAGAACGATGGATGATACAAAAAGCTTCTGTCTTGAATTAGTTGTATTAGAAATTATTGCAAAAGGCTGAAAGTGGGTTCCCATATTCCTTCATCCTGTTTGGTAATTTCAAGTGTCAAAATATGATGTTAGCTATTATTATTATTATTGAAACGTAAAAAAAAATTTCCAGTCAATATACTACTCCATTTCAAAATGGCAAAAATTGAATACAGGGCAGTGATGCAAACTTTTTATTTAAAGAAAAGTCATTGATTTGATATCAGGGTATTCATCCGAATAAAAGAGCCCTTTCAATGCTGCACAATTTAAAGCAAAACTTCCTCTGAGGCAGCAACGAAGCGGCTATGTGCATTTCAAAGCATTCATTCAAATCATTTCCACCTTCGACGGTTAAAGCATTTTTAGACAACTATGGAAAATTAAAATTTCCTTGTGAGATTAAAGCTCCGTCCCTTCAAGGGCACAAGTGTCGATATCCAGGGAGATAATGAAGAAAAATAAATTTAGTTTCATGAGTCTATCACATTTCCTTATATCTCAGGACGGAAACTTTTGGATCACCCCTCGTATCACGGCCTCCTCTTTCTCAACACATTCATGGATGATTCCGTGGAGAAGAACGCAGTACTCTGCTCTTTTTGTTGTGTCAAAACCCAAGAGCTACGCCTCCTTTCCATGAATGCTTCGATACAGCTAACAAGCATGGGTATCTTTTGTCACAGATGCACACGACTATGAAGGCATAATTCACTGCTCTCCGAACATGCTGATATGAATCTCGGAACATGCAGGGTTTTCTCGTTGTGTCCCAAGTGGGTCTTTTCACCTGCTTTAAGTATTTGTAGGTAGTCAGGAGATGGACCCAGAGAACGTCGGAAACTGGGAGCAAAAAAAAACGGAAGAAAAACTAAAATTAGCAGAATGTGGTTTCGATCCACGGACCTCTGGGTTATGGGCCCAGCACGCTTCCACTGCGCCACTCTGCTTCGTGTATGGGAAATTTCTTGAGAGAAAAAAGTCAACTTGAAAAAAAAGTAATAGTCTCTCTCCACGCATCGATGGATGGATGATTCCTCGGAAAAGAAAGAAATGTCCGGTTTTTAGTGTCCAAGAGTCGTTCGTCATCTGCCATCCCTCCCTTCCAAAACCAGCGATAAGGAGGGGGAAGAAGCGAGAGGGGAGGGGGGGGGGGGTTGGGTTAGACCGCAGCACATGAAGAAAGACGTATGGGATCCTTCTCGTTATGGCTCGACGATCGCCCATCGACCAAGTGACTCTCTTTCATTCCCATTAAGTACCTTTCAGGAGAGAAAAATCTCTTAATGGTGATCGAAGATGGAACTTTCCATCCTGAGTGATGAGTGGAAAGTGATGTTTTTTCCTGTCTCTTCCCCCATCTGTGCAGCCCGTATCATTCCGCCTTACGAGCAAGACCAACATTGAGAGGGAAAATAACGAATTTATCTTTATATTGTTATTTTCGTGAATCTCAGTCAGCCAACCAGTCAAGACAAGTACAGAAGATTGAGCTATTGAGCTGAGGATTGAGACAGCTGCGATCGCATGGGATTAAATAAAAACACGCATCCACGATGAGAAGTGAAGATAGAGCGTCGAGGACACAAGCATATACAACAAAGAAGACAACTGAAGGAAAAACATTAAGAAACCCTATAATGAACTCCAACAATTCATGACAATCCCTATAACATCTTGAATTCCGTGTCCAGAGCTATGGGGGCTTGTTTTTTATTATTATGTAGCATCTAATTCTTATTCTATTGCTGGCAATAACTATAGTAATAAAATAATAAAGTGGGCGAGCCACTAGCATAGGAATTCGAAGAAACCATCCAAAGTCTTTTGCCTTTGAAAAAAATTTAATCGGGAAAGTGATTTGGATTCAAGAGGATTAGGGAAAACGGAAGGCGAGGGTCAAAGTCAATCGGAGAGCAGAATGAGAACAGGTTTCTGAACCCTAAGAATCAGGAATTCTGAAAACATACCATGGAACGCGTGAAGATGCAATTAAATAGTACTCGGTTATTGGATCATAGCACAGGTGCCACACAAAGAGGAGAAAGCGAGCGAAGTGGACGGGAGGGGAACCGGGCGAAGACTGAGCATATTCGATTCCAATCTCTCCATATCCATCCACTCTCTCTCTCTCTCTCCTCCTCTCTTTCTCTCCCTCCGCCTCTGCGTCGACGGGTGTTCGTCACGCTCCTGTGATCTTCACCTTCCGGATTCCAATTAATCACGTCGCGATATTCATCACCTCTATCAAAAGTATTCAGCATTCCAAACGTCGCCGACAACATCATCCTGTAATGGTTCCCCTGGCATTTCGGAGCTGGACCGCATCCCCCTCTTCCGTCTTCTCTCGGCTTTCTCTTGTCTCCATTTCCGGTTTCACATTTTATTATTTTTGAATTATTTTTTATTCCCTGCAAACTTGCATCCATCCTGCGATATTCTGCAGCGATATACCAGCAACGTACAGGCAAATCTTGGAGGCTGAGATTTCCAGTTAATTTCATAAGCATTTTTTCCCGCGAAAATGACAGGGAAGGAACCCCCTCATTTACTGGGAAAACGAGGCAAAAAAAGGGAGAAGTCCGCCCAAACGGCAAGAAAGGGAGGGGAATTACTATCATTTGAGGTAAACCGCTTCTGGCTTGACGTAATAGCCGGTTCTCGAGCTCCTTTCAAAGAAACATCTTCTGGAGATGA